CATCCATCCTGCCAGTGGGGACATGTCCATCCTGCCAATGGGGACGTGTCCATCCTGCCAGTGGGGACAAGTCCATTGTGCAACTCTGTGAGGTGACATCCACCCAGACATGGACGAGCTCAGCCAGGACCCACACGCTGCCATGTCCATGGAGGGTTTGGGGGCTGGGGACATGGGCTATTGCAGCTGCAATCCTGCCTGTTCTCTGCTCCCTCCCCTGCAGGCACTTCTCCTCTGGGACAGCCCAGTTGCAGCCTCCATCCAAGAGCAGTACTGTGAGAGCCTGGCACCAGCCACCAACCACACGGGTGAGTGTCCTGTGTCCCCAGCCCAGCCATCCCCAGGGAACCCCAGTGCCAGGGATGAGGGTGTAGGAGGGTGTCCCTGGGCTGAGCTGCAGCTGCCCAGCTCCTTCCTAGGGCTGGTGGGGTGTGCTGAGGCCGTGCAGCCTCTTCACAGGGGGAGAGTGAAGGCAGGAGATGCTAAAAATAGAGAAAATCAATGTCTGTTGGGCTGGGCTCCTGGTGAGGTTGGACAAAAATGTGTCTGCCCAGCCCCTGCTCCTGTGCTGCCCGTTCTCTACCACGCCCAGGGGCACCAGGGCTTTTGTCCCCTCTGCCCACCCCTCCCTGCCACCCCCGTGCCCAGGGTTTATAACTGGAGGTTGTGACTTTCTGTGGAGACCCCATCAGCAGGGCAGTGTGGCCACCATGTGCTCAGGGCTTGGCCACCTTCCATCCCCCCAGCACCCCCAGGTGTGTGTCCCTGAGCTCTCTGAGGGGCCACCAGGAGCTCCTGGGGCCGTGGTTGTGCTCAGGGCTGGCTCAGCAGGGCCATGGGCAGCTCCCTCCTGCTCAACACCCCTACCTGGCTTTGCATCCAACAGATCTCTTTTATTTTTTTTGGCCAAAACTGGCTTCTTGCCTATATTCAAGCTGTGACTTGGATGTCACCTCAGCAGTGACAGGTCTGGTTCAGTGAGAGGTTTTGGGAGAGGAGAAGTGGCTGAGAGAGAGGAGCTCACAGGGGCAAGAAGCAAAGTTCTCCCCCAGCTCAGATGTGCTGCAAAGTTCATTTTCCCACCTCTGACTGAGAGCAAGAGTGGGCTCCAAGCAATTGCCCAGCTTGTCCTGGTCCCTGCTGCTCTCTCCACCAGGGTGCTGGGTGGCTGCAGAGCCCTGGCACTGGTGGGTGGTTGCCCACCACCCAGCTCCCATTAACAGCAGCATCAAAAACCCCTTCTTCAAAAACTACACCTTGGCACCAGCTGATTCAGTGCCTGGCCAAGCTCTGGCCACCACAGCCCTGCAAGGACCATCCCCACAACATTCCCAGCCCAGGAACAGGAGGCAGAAAGCTGAGGGAGGACAAGGCTGCCTGTGGAAAGGGAATTGCCTGCCTGGCTGCAGCCTGGGCACGGGGCACACAACAAACCTGGTCATCACTCGTGGGCTTTGCTCCCTGAGGTTTCATCCCTCTGCTCAGCAAGGTGATTGTTCTTGGCCTTTGGACTTGGCACTGCTGGGTTAACAGTTGGACCTGATGATCTTAAAGGTCTTCTCTCACCATAATGGGGCTGTGATTCTGTGTCAGGCTGTGATAAATGGCATTTGGTTTCTTACTGTCCAGCTCTGTGGGACCCACAGAAGCACCAGCTGAGCCCCACAGGATCCTCTTGCCAAGTCCAGACCAGCTGGTGGCACATCCCAGGGCAGCAGGCAGGTCCCAGAGCCTCCTTGTACTCAGCTGGTGTCCTTTGCCACCCACTGCTGGAACCTCCTGAGCCCAGGAGGGCAAACGGGGGAGAATTTCTGCCTCAGCTTTCCTGATGGGTGTGCCCTGAAGTCACCACCACCCTCAGGCAGTGGGTGCTGCCTGCAAGGACCGGGCTTTGCTCAAGTCAGGACTTACTGGTGTGAATCCAAACAGGATTTAATGCCCCTCAGTGCCCATCACCCTGGGACAGGGAAGAACAAGACCCCAAACTTCTGCTCTGCAAAACCTCTAGCACCTCCAGGCATCCAACCTGTGCAACTCCTGAGTTTGGGATGGGGCTGGCACATGTGAGAGCTGCTTCCAGCACCAGGAGGGGGCTTAGAACAACAGGAAGAGACTAAAGTCATTGTCTCCTGTCTGCTGGTAAGTGGAGCTCAGTGCCAGCCCCCATCCTTGGGGTCCAGTTGAGCCCTGCCTGATGGAGGCAGCGATTCCTAGGGAGGGATATTCCCAGCCCTGGGAACTTGGTTTGGGGGCTGCTTAACACGGAGGGTTGTCAGGCTGACGTTAATGAGAATTGCAGGGAGGCCATGAGACTCAATTTGTTAATGTCTGCAGAGCCCTTGGGAAATGGCACATCCCAGTAACACGAGCCCAGGGCCCTGGGGCTCAGCAGGACAGCACTGGGATGCACGGCAGGGCTCTGCCTCGTGCCTCCCTGCTGCTCCCCTCCTCCAAAACACAACCCAGTCTGGCTGCTCCTCCTCTCTGGGGTCACCTATCCCTTCCTTATTTCATCTCCCACTTTCTAAGGAGGCTGCTGGCTGGGAAGTGGTGTCCCCAGGGGGTCAGTGCTCCCTGAGGCACATGCACTGAGCTGGGAAGGTCTCTGCACACAGCAGGGTGGTGGGGACAGACCTGGGGTGATGGTCATGGGGTTTGTGGGGTGCAGGTGTTGCCAGGAAACACTCATTCCAGGCAATGGAGCAGCAGCTGAGCCCCACAGAGCTCCCCTTATCCTGCCCCTTGTTGTGATGTACCAGCCTCCCTCCCAGCACAGTGTCCCCAGCACGACGTCCCCTGCCAGGGGATGCTCCAGATGCACATCAAAAATACCTCTTGATGAGCCACTGATTCTGCTCAGTGCTGGGACACGTGCTCACCCCCACCCAAGTGACCCCCCCAGCAGGGAGGCTGCTCTGCCCTGCAGCAGGGAGCAGCCCCCTTGGGTCTCTGCAGAAACTGTTCCAGGCAGGAACAGCATCAGCTGGACTTGAGGTCAAGGTGGTGCAGCAGGAAGGGCAGGTCAGCTGCACCCTGAGACACCTGGAAGCCAAGAAATTCCCTGATTCAACTTGTAAAGGAATCAGAGAGGCCCAGCATCCCTCCTCTAGGGTGGGTAAGGTCATGTCCCACAGGCTTCCAGCCTCCAGATTGTGTCATGGCACAGATTTGTCTTCCTGATGGGTTCAGGTCCCCAAGGTCTGGGCACAGCTGCTTCTCGCCTGCTCCTGCCCAGGGGGAGGGACAAGGTCACCTCACCCAGAGGGACACAGTGTCCCCTGCCAGCTGCAGGGCCACTTCCCATCGTGGCACTTCCCTGGGGAAGGAGGGGAGAAGCTGAGGAGGCAGAAAAGCCTCTTCCTGATGAGTAGAGGAGGCTTTCCTGAAGCAGCCCGGGGAAGCAGAGCCTGGAGAGCTCCTGGGCTTGTTTTGCCACCCCTTCCACTCAAGCCTGGAGCAGCTCCAGGACTTGGCACCTACTTGCTGGTAGCCCCAGCTGGCCCTGGCTGCACCACTCACTCCTTTCAGCTGTTAAACTGTTATCACAAGAAACTGTTGCCTTCCATTCCATGTGTGTGCTCAGGAGAGAAAGGGGAGTAGAATTGATTCCTTCCCAGGAGGGAGACGTTTTCTGCCACTCCAAGTTCACCTAAAGCAACAGAAAATGACAACAAAGCAAGGCAGGACTGAACAGAAATGTCTTTTTTTTTTTTTTTAGCTGGAGGTTTTTTTCCCAGGAGGGCTGAGTAGCTCTGCATTTAAATAAAGCAAATCCTGCTGGTCCAGACGTAGCAGAAGCCCCTGGCTGAGAAGCAGAGGGAGCAGGGAGGGGTGAGAGAGTTTCCTTCTCAGCTGCCAGGTTTGGGAACACGTTTCACAGCAGGTGACGCTTTGACCAGGAGACTTTCCACCTGCCCCAGCTGCTGCTGCTCCCCCTCCTCGTGCTGCCCTCCCTGGCTCCCCTGGGGACACGTTGGAATTGAAATTCAGAAAGGTCACATTAACCACATCAGTGTCTCTGTTCAGCCTCCTTGGTGTCTCTCCCACCAAGGCAGAAATGCTAACAAAGGAGCTGAGCAGGGGCTAAAGAGGCAGCAGGGAGGGACTTAGCACCCAGGGAGAGCTGTGGTCCTGGTGCAGGGTTAGGAACAAGAAGATATGAACCCACCTTTATGAAAAACCATCCTGGTTTAAGTGTGCACTGGTACCAATGCAGCCAGTCTGCCCATTATCCAGGAAACAGGAAGGTCAATAGGAACTTTTTTATGTTCTTGGGTTTCCTTGTGGAGGAGGGAAGGAGGTGATGAGGTTTTCTGGTAGGAAATAGTGTCCTGGCACATCTCAGGGTGAGCAGAACCTACAGCACCTCCACTGTGCCTTGGACTGACTGCAGGAAAATCATTGCCAGCTACTCCAGTCACTTGTAGCCAAACTAGAAGTCTTTGCTAGGAAAACTCTGCCAGGGAGGGATGTTTTTTTCTTTGCTCACCCACCAGCAAAGCCCAACCAACACCAGGGAATAAACCACTTGCTGCTACCCTTGCCAAGAACACAACTGCAGCCACTCCATGGGTCAGATCAGGAGAACAAGATCCAAACCCAACCCACTACCTTGTATACTCCATAAATATGTCAAAAGAAGGGTGGAGGTGATTCTGCCCCTTCACTCAGCTCCCATGAGACCCCACCAGGAACACTGTGTCCAGTTCTGGAGCCCCTAACATAAGAAGGACATGGAGCTCCTGGAGAGAGTCCAGAGGAGGCCATGGAGATGATGGGAGGGCTGGAGCAGCTCTGGAGCCAGGCTGGGAGAGTTGGGGTGTTCAGCCTGGAGAAGAGAAGGCTCCAGGGAGACCTTAGAGCAGCTTCCAGTGCCTGAAGGGGCTCCAGGAAAGCTGGGGAGGGACTTGGGACAAGGGCAGGGAGGGATGGGATGAGGGGGATGGATGAAAACTGGAAGAGATTGAGGTGAGATCTGAGGAGGAAATTCTTCTTTGTGAGGGTGGTGAGAGCCTGGCCCAGGTTGCCCAGGGAAGCTGTGGCTGCCCCATCCCTGGCAGTGTTGAAGGGCAGGTTGGATGGGGCTTGGAGCAGCCTGGGCTGGTGGGAGGTGTCCCTGCCCATGCAGGGGGTTGGGACTGGATGGGCTTTAAGGTCCTTCCAACCCAAACCAGTCTATTCTGTGAATCTGAACGTGCTCCTCAGGAGCTGTGCATGGGACAATGTGCAGTGATGACACTGAGCAGATGCATCAACCACCAATGGCAGAAGCTGGGTTTGTTGCCTCCTATTTATTCTTCTCCAGCAGAGACCCAAGGGGACAGTCAATGTTGGTGAATAGTAACAAGCTGAAAATTCATTTCAAAGACACTTTGCTATCATAATGCTTAATTAGCCCGTGTAATTATTTTACATTGAGGATCATGGAACTTGAATGCTTGGGAGGATTGCTGGGATTATTTTAAGGACTGAACTCTTACAAAGATAAATAGAAACACCCAGTGCCATGGGAAGTGGTGCTGGAGGTAGAGTGTGAGCAAGGAGCTGGGTATTTTGAGACAAGCAGCCACCCTGAGTAGCCAGCCCTGGCTCAGAGGGAAGGCAGGCAGCTCCACCACCCCAATTTCAACCCTGTGTTAACAGCAAGTGTCCCCTGGTGCCATTTCCCTCCATGCCTCAAGGTGTTACTCAAGCATTTAGCACCAGGAGCAGCCAGGATGGAGCCACCCCTCCTTGGCACAGCAGAGCCACCCCCCAACTGCCCTTCCTCTGGGGCAATGAGGTGTGAAATGGCTCTTTCTGCTCCACCAGTGGGGTGGGGCTGCTCAGGAGGGACACAGGAGCTTTTGTGCTCTAGCTGGGATGAGCATGTTCTGTTTTAGATGTGGAGATGAAGCCCTGGCTCCCAAATGCAAGTGCTGCAGCAGGGGTGGCCTCCAGGAGCCAGAGGCTTCACTCTGTCCATGATGCAGCAGCAGCAACATGGTCACCAAGGACATCAGGGATGGACAATCAGAGATGATTGTGATTGAGCATGAGCTCAGGACAGGTACAGATTGGAGCTAACACCTTTCAGCCTCCTGAGACACCTCAGATCAATGACCCAGCCATGGAAATGAGCCTGAGATGCAGGTTTCCATCATGTCTCCTGGCCCTTTGCACAAGGGGAGAGAGGCTTTGCCTTTGGAGCAGCCCCAGCATGGCTGGGGGCACAGCACCAGCTTGGGGTGAGACCAGGACCAGTTTGCTGGCACAGTTACACCAACACAGACCTTTGCTTCCCTCCTCTTCACACCATCCTAGCAAGGCTTGGATGCCACAATCACACTTGAACCCTCCTGGCATCAGCTCAAGAGCAACTGGGCCACACGTCTGGTGGTGCTGACCCAGGAGAAACCTGCTCCATCCTCTTCCAGTTTGCTCCAAATCTGAGCTGGGAAGGGGAGAACTTTCCCCTGCCAGGCTTCCCATGGCTTGAGCCTGGAGCCATCTCCAGGGGCCTGTATGAGGGGGAAGCAGGGGCTGTTTGGTGTAGACAGGAGGGTTATTGCTGCTGTTATCCTGTCTCAGTGGAAGTCCCTGGACAGACACTAATTTTTTTTCCTTTAGAAGAAAGGGAACAATTTTTTACCCCTCCAAACAGCACAACCTGAAGGAAACAGGGTGGGAAGGGGCTTGAGTGACATCCCCCAGGCCACATTCCCCTCCTCACAGCAGGACTAGCTCCTTCCTGCCCCAACACGCAGTGTTTCTGGGTGGGAGGGACCTCAATCAGAACCATTGGGTGCAGGTAGAAGATTCCTTGACCTTTTCTTGCTGCCAAGTTGCAAAGACCCAAACCTGTCTGTGCAGCCAAGGGTGCTGAGGAAGCTGCAGCAGAACCTGGGGGAATCATCTCCTGCAAACACAGAGAGGCCAGGAAGCAGACATGGAAGCATTTAGCACTGATAGGTCTCATTTCCATGCTAAACACTAGTGCTGGGAGCAGCTGGAGCAGCTGGTCCTGCTGGGCAAACCCATGGTGGAAGCCCTCCCAGCACTCTTTGCCTTCACTGTTTTACTTAACTCTTCCCCAGCAGGAGATTTATGTGGTGTTGCTTTTTTTTCCCTTCCCTACATGCTGATGAGAGCAGAAACATCTGCTCCCTGCAGCTTCTTCAGCCAGTTGTTTCCCACTGTGAGCCTGGGGAAAATCTTACAGCCACCCACTGGGTGAGGAACTGGTGGGACAGACCTCAACACGCTGCCTGCAGTGGTGCTGGGCTGATGGTGGCATCTCAGAAGCATCCTGCAGCCTGGCTGAGCCCCTCCTCTGCTCCCCCCACTGCAGCCCCCAGAGTCTCACCCCACCACCCTCACCCATGGGCTGAGGAGCTGCTGAGGTCCTGGTGACCTTGCTCCACCTTCCCCCTGCTGTGGTGGGACTGCAAGAGCCACCCACTGGGTTTGTCATCAAGTGGGTGGCCACAGCCATCAACAGCAGTGCCAAGCAGCATTAGATCCAGTGCCCTGGAGAAATGGGGGGGGATTTTATCCAGACATAGAAGAGAATGATGCCACCTTTGTCTGACAGCACCATTTCCCTGGATTTATCTTGGGTTTGGTGATGAATGACACAGCTGTGGGTTTGTTTTGCTGATCTCTGGGTCTGAGTCATTTCAGCCTGAGTCCTCCTGCCTGTCCTCCCCAGGCAACCTGTGCCCCTGGGATGCAGGAGGGAAACTGAGGCACGAGGGAAGGGGGAGAAAACGGAGGTTGTGTTCAGCCCCCACAGCTCACAGGGGAGGTTTCAACGTCTGCAGGAGCTGCCCTGGGCATTAGAACCACACAAGCCCCATTTTCCTATGTTGATTTATTCCAGGTGAATCTTTTCCTATTTCCCACGTTCATGTGGCTTCTGACCTGGGAGGATTCCCAGGTGGACAACAGGGAAAGCACTTGTGATTTCACTTCATCCTTGAAGCAATTCCCAGCTTTCTGTTCCTCTACCTCAATGCAAATCAAGCTACATTTTTAATCAGGGGGCTTCATTTTCCATGACCCTCTGCTTCTCTGTCAGATTTGGGTCAAAACAACTGAGGAACTCAAGGAATGCTAATGGATGGAGATGAGAACAGACACTCACACCCCCCATGTGATTAAATGCACCTTGTTTCCCAAGGAAGACAACCTTAAAACAGTTAATTTCAAGTGAAGGTTGCTCCAGCAACCACACACATTAGCCAAGCTAAAAGCAAAGGTCATGGATAAAATTAATTCCTCACTCCAAGCTATGGGAGGCAGAAGGTAACACTCACCATGGGCTGATGCTTCCCCAGCTCACACTCTTGGAAGTTGTTTTTGCTGTTTGCAAAGATATTGGCAGAAAAGCTTCTCTTGGAATATTTGCCCTGGGAACATCCCAGGAAACCAAGGAGCCAATTTTTTTCAGATCATCAGTGAAGACAAATATTCCCCTATTTAAAAATTCATTGTATTAATAACAAAATATGTTGGGTTTGGTATTTTTTTTTTTTGTTGGGTGGCTCTTTATCCAGCTCTATCCACGGGGATTCTCAGGAAAGGTGTTGAAATAACAAGTCCCTGAGCTGGGGTGGAGAGGAGATGCTGTGTTTTCAACCCCCCGAGAACTGGGAATTGGGGTGGTTTTGCCTTTGGAAATGGCAACATCTGTGTCAGTTCCAGCAGCACAAACACCTCTGGGTGCCCAGGACTGGTTGGCTCTGACCTCTACCCCTGCCAGGCTCTGCTGCCCACCCAGCACCTGCCTGCCAAGGCCTGGATTTTATGGGTATTCCAGCCTTTGTGCTTCCTGCTCCTCTCGGAGACGCAGGGAGGACGGATTTAGCTCCAGTACATGTTGTTCTAAATATACAGGAATTAGAGATAAAAAAGCCTGCAATCTGGCCTACCTAGTGCCCACGTTCAGCACGCCCGTGGAGCTGGGAAAAGCACAGGACTCCTGCTTGAAATCAGAAATAGCAGCAGCAGACTTGGAGTTTTCTTCCTAGGAAAGGCTGGAAGAGACCAACAGGAAGGGCTGGGAAGGAGAACTTGCAGCCAGGAGGTTGTGAGAGAGTTGGGGGAGCTCTGAGGAACATCCCACCAGCAGCAGGCTGGAGTCACCTCTGGGAAAGGGAAAAGCTGCTTTATTGCTGGTTGTTGTGGGGCTGAATGCCAAAGTGGTGGTTGAAGAAAAGGGCAGGGCTGGAGGACCAGAGCCAGGAACTCCAAGACCACTTTGGAAGCTGGCTCAGAAAACCAGGCTTGGACCAGAACTGGACTTCAGCCAGGTGCTCAGAACAACAGTCATGGCCAGAATGGACCAACCAGCCCTTGGAGAGTCCTGGAACAGACCCTGCTTGGCATCTGCCATGAGGCTCTTCTGAGGGCTGAGCTTGCAGTGACCCCCACTAGCTCAGCCAGGGCTGCAGCACCAAACCTGGACCCTTCAGCAGCCTGGAGGTGGCCAGGACACCTCCAGTAACCCTGTCCCCTCCTGCCCTACAGGTCCCCAGTAAAACCCCAGGAAACCTCCAGTAACTCTGTCCTGTTCTGCCCCACAGGTCCCCAGTAAAACCCCAGGAAACTCCCAATAAACCTGTCCCATCCTGCCCCACAGGACCCCAGTAAAACCCTAGGAAACTCCCAATAACCCTGTCCCTCCTGCCCCACTGGTCCCCAGTAAAACCCCAGGAGACCTCCAGTAACTCTGTCCTGTTCTGTCCCACAGGTCCCCAGTAAAACCCCAGGAAACCTCCAGTAACCCTGTCCCCTCCTGCCCCACAGGACCCCAGTAAAACCCCAGGAAAGCCCCAGTAACCCTGTCCCCTCCTGCCCCACAGGACCCCAGTAAAACCCCAGGAAAGCCCCAGTAACCCTGTCCCCTCCTGCCCCACAGGACCCCAGTAAAACCCCAGGAAAGCCCCAGTAACCCTGTCCCCTCCTGCCCCACAGGACCCCAGTAAAACCCCAGGAAAGCCCCAGTAACCCTGTCCCCTCCTGCCCCACAGGACCCCAGTAAAACCCCAGGAAAGCCCCAGTAACCCTGTCCCCTCCTGCCCCACAGGACCCCAGTAAAACCCCAGGAAAGCCCCAGTAACCCTGTCCCCTCCTGCCCCACAGGACCCCAGTGCAACGCCTCTGTGGACCTGATCGGCACGTGCTGGCCCCGCAGCGCGGTGGGGCAGCTGGTGGCCCGACCCTGCCCCGAGTTCTTCTATGGGGTGCGGTACAACACCACCAGTAAGGCAACTGGGACTGCTGGGATGTGGTCGGAGAGGGGTGGGGGACTTCAGGGAGTCGTGGGCCTCCAGGGCTGCAGGGACATGAGGGACAAGGAAGAACTTCTTTGCTGTGAGAGTGCCAGAGCCCTGGGCCAGGCTGCCCAGAGAGGCTGTGGAGTCTCCTTCTCTGGAGACATTCCAACCCCCCTGGCCACGTTCCTGTGTGATGTGCTCTGGGTGCCCCTGCTCTGGCAGGGGGGTTGGGCTGGGGGAGCTTTCCAGGTCCCTTCCAACCCCTGGGGTTCTGTCCCCCAACACGTTCCCTGGGTACCCAGCTCGGTGGGCTGGGTGGGATCTGCCCAGCAGCAGGAGGAAGGAGCTTTCCTGGCCCACCTGGCAGGGGAAGGGGCTGCACAGCAGTGGCTCTGCAAGCAGGACGTGCCCCCCGTGCAGGGGAAGGGGGCTGATGTCCCCTGGTGGGGGCAGGGGCAGAGGGGGGAGCTGCCCACCCTGTGGGAGGGGGCACCGAGTTCTGCAGCCCCCACTAAGCAAGGACTGGGGCACCTTGTGGCTCATCCCCTGCTGCCACGGGTCACTGCCTTGTCACTGCTGGTGACAGGGGACAAAGCAAAGGCACTTGAAAAGTGCCCAAGGCCATTCCTAGCACCCAGCTGAGCTCCTGACCACCCAAGCTCTGCTTTTGCTGCATGAAACCTCTTGCTTCCCACATCAAAACATGTTTCCATCCCATGAGCTCACAGCTCCTGCTTCCTGCTGCCCCTCCTGCCATTCCTGGAGTCTCCTTGCATGAATCCATACTTAAGCCTGCCTGAAAGCCACCTCCATCCCTATCCCACCCCACCATCCCACCCATGGTCTTTCCTATTAATAGCCCAGTATGGCTCCAGTGCCATCACCCCAGTGCCATGCCCCAGAGCCAACACCATCCAGAGACTGCTCCAGGGCTGGTGTGGTCATTCCTTCCCAATTAACCTTGTCCTCCCTGTCCTTCCTGAGAGGTGAAGAAAGCTCCAAGTGCAAGGAGAGGAGGGAGAGCCTGAGGCTGCTGCTGCAGCAGGTGACACCTCATCACTCCAGCACATAGTGCAGAAATGGGCCAGAGATTTTGGTTCTGCAGTTGCAACCAAGGTGGCATCTGGGCTGGCTTCAAAGCAAAAAGATGCCACTGGTTGGGTGGCAGGGACCCCTGCATTGGTAACAGTCACCAGGTCACCTGGTTGTGCCCCTGCCTTGTTAACCCTTCACTGGGCACCTTCTCTTTCAGACAATGGCTACAGGGAGTGCCTCACCAACGGGAGCTGGGCAGCACGGGTCAACTATTCCCAGTGCCAGGAGATCCTCAGTGAAGAGGTAGGACCTCTTAGACATTAGGAGGAACTGTCTCTTAGACATTTGGAAGAATTTCTTCACTATGAAGTTGGAGAGACCCTGGAACATGTTGCCCAGGGAAGCTGTGGCTGCCCCATCCCTGGCAGTGTTGAAGGGCAGGTTGGATGGGGCTTGGAGCAGCCTGGGCTGGTGGGAGGTGTCCCTGCCCATGCAGGGGGTGGGACTGGATGATCTTGAAGGTCCCTTCCAACCCAAACCATTCCATGATTCTATGACCTTGGTAGCCTCTCAGCCAAGCTCTTGGCAGGAGGGTGAGGGACAAAAGATGGAGTTTTGGAGGGCAACAGCATCCAGGCCAGGAGCAGCCCAAGCTCATGGGCTGGGTGTGCAGCAGCAGCCCAGACCAAGGGTTGGATGCAGCACATCTGACCCCCTTCTTGATTTGTGTTTTCATTCCCTGCCAAAAATAAAGCCACATCTGTGTCCTTCCCTGTTCAGCATCCAGGGGGATTTGCAGTGTGAGCTCTTCTGGCCCCAGGGTGCAGACCAGCTTGTCCTCTGGCCCCACCAACCTCCCCCAGCTCCCTCCTGCCACAGGCCCCCAGTACAAACCCCCCCTCCCCACTGGCAAGGAGCAAAGCAGACGTTTAGGAGACTGAGAGGGATAAAAACGAGGGCACCATGAATCATGACCCCCCGGGGAGGTCAGGCCACCCCTCGGAGCAAAGGGGAAGACATATGGGCTGTTCATTTGCAGTTGATAACCACCTCTGGTATTTAAGCTGCTGATCTCTCTTGCCAGGAATGGTTTTCTCACTCAGATAATTGCTAATTCACAGGTTGGATGAGTGCCTGACAGCAGGAGCAATCAATTAATTTAATTAGCACTCACACCTTCTCCAGATCTCCTGCTCCCTCTGCCCAAATTCATCCCAGGCTCTCAGCTGCCCTCAGGGCAACAGGGAATGAACTGAGACATCAGATGTCACTGCTGGGCTGAGCTGCAGCAGGATTTCTCTGGACAAGGGGTTGTCCCAGCACTGAGCAGAGGTGATGTGACAACCATGAGCTGCAGTGACATGGGCAGGAGATGAAGTGCCTGAGCTCTTTGCTGGTCCCTCTCCTGCCCACACGACCCCCACCCAACCAGCTGTGTCTCCTCCCAGCCCCATTTCCACAGCCTTGCACCAGTTGGGCTCCAGTTGGTTGCTCAAAAAGGACCCACATTTTGCAGTGTGGGTCTTGGAGCTGATGTGGTGGTGGTGGTGGAGGAGGTGGGTTTGTGGTGGTACCCCGTGATGCTGCTGCTGACCCTGTCCCCATCTCCCCCCCATCAGAAGAAGAGCAAGCTGCACTACCACGTCGCAGTCATCATCAACTACCTGGGGCACTGTGTCTCTCTGGGGGCTCTCCTGGTGGCCTTCGTGCTCTTCATGCGCCTGCGGTGAGTGGCCTGACCTGCTCTTGTCCTCCTGGCCTGGCCACGAGCCCAGGGAGGTCACCCCTTGGGCTGGGAACTGACCTGGCCCTTGTGTCTTTCCACATCACCCCCCATGGCTTGATGCTCTCCAGCCTGGAGGGACGATACCTCTCTCAGGGTTATTTTCCTCCTGCTGCTTTTTCAAAGGAGGGGGTTATGGAGGCAGAGGGTCCTCCTGGGTGCCTTCCAGAGCCCTGGGCCAGGCTGCCCAGAGAGGCTGTGGAATATTGTGTCCAGTTCTGGGCCCCTCAGTTCCAGAAGGACAGGGAACTGCTGGGAAGAGCCCAGGGCAGAGCCCCAGAGACGCTGGAGGGAGGGGAACATCTCCCTGCTGAGGAAAGGCTGAGGGAGCTGGGGCTGTTGGGCTTGGAGAAGAGGAGACTGAGGGGCCACCTCATCCATGGGCACAAATCTGTTCAGGGCAGTGTCAGGAGGACAGAGCCAGGCTTTGTGCAGTGATGTCCAGTGACAGGACAAGGGGCAGTGGGTGCAAACTGGAGCCCAGGAGGTTCCATGGGAATCTCAGGAAGAACTTGTTTGCTGTGAGAGTGCCAGAGCCCTGGGCCAGGCTGCCCAGAGAGGCTGTGGAGTCTCCTTCTCTGGAGACATTCCAACCCCCCTGGCCACGTTCCTGTGTGATGTGCTCTGGGTGCCCCTGCTCTGGCAGGGGGGTTGGGCTGGGGGAGCTTTCCAGCTCCCTTCCAACCCCTGGGATTCTGGGGTTCCATCTCCTGGCCTTGCTCCTGCCCCCCTCCCTTAGGGCACTGCCCCAGCTCTTCACCCTGGGGCTCCCAACAAAGACCTACAAAAGCAACCCCTTCCCCCAGCCCACACATGGCCATCCTGCAGGCACCCCCTGTGCTCTGACAGTCCCTCCCCCTCCTCTTCTCCAGGAGCATCAGGTGCCTGAGGAACATCATCCACTGGAACCTGATCACAGCCTTCATCCTGCGCAACGCCACCTGGTTCGTGGTGCAGCTCACCATGAACCCCGAGGTGCACGAGAGCAACGTGGTAGGTGCAGCCCTGCCAGGGAGCTGGGGTGAGCCTGGGGTGGGGGCTTGAGGGTCTGAGCTATCCAACCACAAAAGCAGCTTGAGAGTTGAGGGGAGCAACAAGGCTGACCTGGTGTTTGAGGGACAACCCAGGCTGATGAGCAACGTGGGTTTGATGGTCCTACTGGGCTCTGGGTTGTTCTGGGGGTTGGTTCTGCCACCCCTAACACAGAGATCTGCTCATCACCCCCCTCCCTGGCAGGTCTGGTGCCGTTTGGTCACTGCTGCCTACAACTACTTCCACGTCACCAACTTCTTCTGGATGTTTGGGGAGGGCTGCTACCTGCACACGGCCATCGTGCTCACCTACTCCACCGACAAGCTCCGCAAGTGGATGTTCATCTGCATTGGCTGGTGTGAGTGCCAGGGTTCCCACCCCTCTCCACCCACCCAGGGTGCCCAGGGGCTCAGTGATGGGTGATTCCCACCTCCATCCTCTGCTCCTGTTCTTCTCCCACTCCAGTAGCTGCAAAGAGGCTGCTAGGAGTGGGAGGATGGGGTTTAGCGTGATGGTCGGATGGAGAAGAGAAGGGTCTGGAGAGACCTCATAGGAGCCTTCCAGTGCCTGAAGGGGCTCCAGGAAAGCTGGGGAGGGACTTGGGACAAGGGCAGGGAGGGGTGGGATGAGGGGGATGGATGAAAACTGGGAGAGGGAGATTGAGGTGAGACATGAGGAGGAAATTCTTTGCTGTGAGGGTGGTGAGAGCCTGGCCCAGGTTGCCCAGGGAAGCTGTGGCTGCCCCATCCCTGGCAGTGTTGAAGGGCAGGTTGGATGGGGCTTGGAGCAGCCTGGGCTGGTGGGAGGTGTCCCTGCCCATGCAGGGGGTGGGAATGGATGGTCTTGAATGTCTCTTCCAACCCAAACCTCTCTATGATTAATGATTCCACGATCTATGTCTCATCTCCCCCCGTGGTTTCCCCTGGGTGAGGACACCCCTGGCCCAGCAGAGCTCAGTGCTGCAGGGCTGAGGCTCCTCCCTGTCTCCCTCTCCAGGTATCCCCTTCCCCATCATCGTCGCCTGGGCCATCGGGAAGCTCTACTACGACAACGAGAAGTGAGATGGGTTTGCTCCCCTTCCCCAGCCCCCTTCCCATCCCAGTTCCAGGGATCAGTTGTGCCAGGGGCTGGGGCAGACATGGACCTTGCTTGGAAGGGCTGACAAGGGTCCATAGAAAGGGTGGGAGGAAAAACAAGGATCATATTCTTCCTTTTATCCCCCCTTGGGGCTTTCTGGTGCACAAGCCCTGCCTGCAGCTGCCTGGGGCTGCACTTTCCTCTTCAAAGGGCAAATAAGATCTTCTGGGTTGTTTTTTCTTTAAGGGGAAAAGGTGAGATGAAGGCAGAGCTGCTGGGATGTGTTTGCTAAATGGAGCTGGGATTTAACCTGCCAGTGGAGATATAAACTGTCACCCCCAGAGCCACGTTCACAGCCACTTGCTAATGGAGGAGTTCACAGGCACCTGAGAGCTCATCCCCTGGGCTGGGAGGGCACAGGGAGCCTGTGCAGATCAGGTCTTGGTTTTCAGGGCTGGTTTTGCCTCCCCAGCTCAGCAGCCCTGATGTACAAACCCCACCAAGGTGGTCCTGGGACATGGGTGCACCCAAGGGAGCTCCCGTGGGGTTTGCTGGGGGCAGAACCAGCCTGGATCTGTTCACATTCCCTGCTGCTCTGCCCTGGAGAACTGTGCCCAGTTCTGGGCTGCCCAGTTCAAGAAGGACAGGGAACTGCTGGAGAGGGGACAGCAAAGGGCTACAAAAATGCTGAGGAGACTAGAACATCTCCCTTATGAGGAAAGGCTGGGGGAGCTGGGTCTTTTTAGTCTGGAGAAGAGGAGACTGAGGGGGGATGTTATCAGTGCTTATCAGTACTTCAAGGGGGGTGGCTGGAGGGTGGGCCAGGCTTTTCTCAGAGGTGCCCAGAGACAGGACAAGAGGGAACAGGCACAAACTTGAACATAGGAAGTTCCATCTAAACATGAGGAGGAACTTCTGTGCTGTGAGGGTGGCAGAGCCCTGGGACAGGCTGCCCAGGTTGCTTGTGGAGGCTCCATCTCTGCAGACATTCCAAACCCACCTGGATGCCATGACCCTTGGACTGCATCATCTCCAGAGGTCCCTTCCAACCCCTCACACTGTGACTCTGTGTAAGGCTGTCCCTGCTCATCCCACCATAACCAGGTCCCACATCCACCCAGGGCCCATCATCACCCCCACAAGCCCCTGGGAACCTGGAATGTTCATGGGGGAAGCTCTTCCATCGTGGCTGAGCAGTGTAAGTCCTAGAGCTTTCACGCTGGGGACAATGACTTACAGACACTGTGCAAGGACAGCAATAAGTCCATGTCACCCACACTGCAGCCTTGTCCCCAGCACCAGATGTCCCTGACCCTGCTTGTCCTTGCCCTGCAGGTGCTGGTTTGGGAAACGAGCAGGAGTTTACACTGACTACATCTACCAAGGCCCCATGATCCTGGTGCTGCTGGTAAGAGCAAAGTGACCTTGTTTCCTAAATCCAGGATCCTTCCATCTACCCGTGGGGTCAGGCTGCTCCTGGACAGGGATTCTGGTCCCCTCCTTCGGGGTGACCCCACCACAGCAGTGCCCTTCACCCTGCAGGCCCAGCTCCCAACCTGCACCTCCAGCAAAGGTGGGCACCTCACCCACCAGGAGGAATGGTCTGCATGGATCCTGCTGCTGTGGGATGGGCTAGAAAGAGGGCCTGGAGACCCCTGTGCCATGGGGAAGCTGCCATCAGCAGACTCCCACATGCATCAGTAAGTGCCCCCATCCCTGCCCTGGCACTGCTTGGGTGCAGGTGGGTGTTTTGTCCAGCCTCTGCAGCAGCCTGGGGACCTCAACCCCATTCCTTGATGCACATCACTTTGTTCCTGCCCCTTGGCTGGGCCACGGTGGTCACACAGAGCATCTTTTGCTGGGGCTTTGCCCCTTTTGGGAAGGGACAAAGAGGGGAAGAGGTGACAGGTCACAAGCAGCAGCATCAGGCTCTGACCTGTGTTTGCAGGGAGAAACCTCTGCACGAGGTCCCACAGCTTTTCCTCCCTCCTCACCCAACACCAAGACAATCCAAGGGAGGACTAATCACTGGCACCCCCTGGTCTGGCTGGATAATTGAGCCTGCTTCTCATTTCCCAGCCCATCAGGTAGCCAGGCCACCTCTCCCTGGTGACAATTGTGCTGGGCTCCCAGGGCTGCCTCCCCGTGCCCTCATTAGCAGCTCAGCACTGGGACAGTGGCCAAGTGGCTCCTTGCTGCCATGGTAGCCACCTAAAAATCAAAATCCCTTCAGCCACCTTTATGTGCCTCTTCCCCCTCCAGCTTTTTCACCAGCAGCCCTTTCTCCAAGGCCTGCCCATCCTCACCAACCTCCTGCTCCAATCCCTTGACCCAGCTCCTGCAGCTTCTTGCTGTAAAACCAATAGATGCAGATGTTCTCTTCCAAGAGGCAAGAGATCAGGTTCAAGAGTTCCCATTTCCACTGGCACAGCCTCTTGCCTGTGCTGGGGAAGTGGGGGGCAACGTTGGGGAAGAAGACAGTTCACCAGGTGCCCTCTTCCTTCCAGATCAACTTCATCTTTCTGTTCAACATCGTCCGAATCCTCATGACAAAGCTCAGAGCTTCAACCACGTCAGAGACCATCCAGTACAGGTGAGAGGACCCTGCAGGAAGCAGAGCTAGAAACTGCAGCAGCAGGATTTGGGGGGGATAGGAACAGTCCCAGCAGCCAGGCAGCAAGGGGGTGGAAGGATGGAGAGATATCTGAGAGCAATTCATCTGCTTTTCTTGGAGACACGTGGTCGTTGCATCTGGGGCTGGGGACAAATCCTGGCTGGTGAGGACTTTGTGGTGGAGGAGGTGGGTGGTTGGGTCTGCCCTGGAAGGGAGTTGAGGCTCTTTGCAAACGCCTGCTCTGGTGGGACTGGATCAGCTCTCCAGCCTTGGAGCTGCAAATCCTGGCATGGAGGTGAGAATGAAGTGGCTTGGCAGCAAAGCAAGGAAGGGGCAGTGGATCCACACCACCCAAAACACCTCCTTGGGAAGCTGCAAGGAGAAGGCAACACCCTCAGCAGCCACAACAGGAGGATTTAACCCTTCCTGCTGCAGAATATTTTCCAGAAGATTTGGGAGGTGCAGTCAGAACTGCTCTCCAAAGCTCCTGGAGCAGGAGAAGACCTTGGTCTTCTTCAGTGCTTCTCTCTGGATCATTTTCTGGGCAGGAATCAAGGAATCTCACTGTGTGCTGGGTCAAGAGAAGCAGGTTTGGGGCAGAGGGTGACTTTTTCAGCTCAAAAAGGAAAAATCCAGATGCAATCCTTGGGAAATTCCAGCTGTGTTGATCAAGGAGCCCTGAGCTGGGATGAATGATCCAGCTTGGGGTGAGCAGGGGTGATTGGGGTGAGCTTGGGGTGATTGGAAGAGGCTGGTTGGCCTCAGTGAGCAGGTTTGAGAGACTTGTTGGGGTTTTTCAGTATTTCCCTGCTTTTTTGGCAGGGAAGGTTTTTTTTTCCCCTTTGGGCAGAAGGTTTTCATTTCCCAGGGGCCATTTGGTGGGACAGGAAAGCTTGGGAGTGTTTGGTAGGTTCTAAACTGGGACAGTCCTGCTTCAAGGTGGCCTGGGACAGCCCTGCAGGGTTTCTGGGGGGCAGCAGCTTTTGGTAACAGGCTGGTGGATCCCAGGACTCTCCCCTTGGAAAGCTACCCGTGCTGCCCCATGGTTTGCCAGCCTGAAGATGCTCAAACCAGTTCCTTCCAGTTCCTCTGGGCCATCTGGCAGGTTGTCCCCATGGCTGTGGGCTCTTCTCCAGGCCAGCCATGCAGCCCAGGTCCCAGCCCAGACCTGCCATGACTCTCCCTCTTCTCAGCTAACATTGGAATCTGTCCATTCACAGGATTTTGAAGCAAAAAGTGCTGACTTGGCATTGTTCTTGTCCCCTGATCCAGAGGAAGGAGATGCCAGGCCCTGATCCTTCCTCTTGTGTCAGTGACTTCTCACCAGCTGCACTTGCAACCTCATCAAGAAAAGACACAAAATGAATTAGCTGGGTTAAGTTGTTCAGAAGCCCAAGTTGACAGCTGTGAATGATTTTATCCTCCTTCATTCTTTTTGAATGGAGCCTGGGATCAGCCAAGCAACCCTTTCCTGCCAGCTCAAGGTCAGGTCTCAACTCTCCACTGCCCTTTCCTGGCTGGAGAACCCATGGAAGGTTCCCAGTGCTCAAACCAGCCCAGTCCCTTGGATATTGTGTTGGAAAACATCTGCTCCCTCCTCCCCTGGTCACCGATTTGACCAGTCCCAGACTGGGAGTAGGATGGAGGATGTTCCTCATGTCCAGGGCTGCCCTGTAGCAGCTCAGGTCCATGTTTTATCCCCAGGAAAGCAGTCAAGGCCACGTTGGTGCTGCTGCCCTTGTTGGGAATCACCTACATGCTGTTCTTTGTCAACCCAGGGGAGGATGAGATCTCCAGGATTGTCTTCATCTATTTCAACTCCTTTCTGGAGTCCTTCCAGGTATGGTCCTCAGCACTAACTTCCACCCCAGTCCCCCCAGTAAGGGATGTGGAGGAGCTTGAACTGGTTGATGCTTCATCCTGCTCCTGCCCCCTCCCCAAACCAGACACCCCCACCCCCTGGAGCTGCTCTGGAGCCTGGGGATGCCTGGTGGCCATAGGTCTGTGGTGACTCTGCTGCTTGTCTCCTTCCAGGGCTTCTTTGTCTCTGTCTTCTACTGCTTCCTGAACAGCGAGGTGAGCACAGGGGGGTCCTCAGGGGGTCTCCACCCTTCCTGGGCTTGGGGGGTCCTGGCACCCAACTCCCCAGCTGAAGGTCTGGTCAGAGTTGGTGCTTCACCTCCAGGCACTGCTGGAGATGGGAATGACTACTCTTGGTCTCCTCCTCCAAAAATGCACCCCCAAGAGCAGATGCTGTGGGGTTGCACCCGTGTGATCTGGTGCAGCAGAGGAGCTGAGGGTCCCCCCATTCCTGAGGAACCCTTCCCAGTGGGAGCTCTGTCCACATGTGGGTACCCAGCACGTGGACAAGGGCAGCTCTGACCCAAAACAGAGACAGCAGGAAGAAAGGAGGTGAGAGCAGAGGTTGATCCTTTGGGCAGCTCTTTCCTCTACCTCCTCCCAAGGGCTCTGGCACCTTCTCTGGCTCAGGAGGGTCTGTCCCAGCCCAGCTTCCTGTTACCAAATTGCTGCAGGAGGCAAAGGGGCTGGAGCAAGGTGGCCTGGGGACGTGTCACACTGTGCAGTTGAGGGTCCTTCACCTCTCAGTGGGGTTTCTGATGTTCACCCAACAGCACCACCTCAGCCCAGTGCCCATCTCCGGGGCCAACCCCCGGTGCAGCCCCTGAGGGGCATTTCTCCATTTCCCTGCCACACAAAGCACTGGGGCTGTTGGAGGGTGGAACTGATGTTGGAGAAAAGCCACCAGGCTCCAGCAGACCAGCCATCAACCCTCCTGCCTGTCTCCCTCCCCTCTCCCAGCCCCTGGCAGCACCCGAGGCAGGCTGGAAGGTGCTGCTTTGCCTGCAGAGCCCCTGCTCACACTGATTTCTCCCTCTTGTTTCCATTTTGCCCTCAGAGGCACCACCAGTCAGGGCCACCTCCCCTCCCAACCAGTTCCACCAGCACCACATCAGGCTGGGCTCCCTGGGAGCTGCCAGGGGCAATTTTTTTTGGTTGAAAACCTGAGGGTGAGGCTGGCTGGTGCCTCTGCAGATCTCTGGCCAGCTGCCTGGTGACCATGTCCCCTCCTCTGCCTCCCCCCCAGGTCAGATCAGCCGTGAGGAAGCGCTGGCACCGCTGGCAGGACAAACGATTTTATCCTCCTTCATTCTTTTTGAATGGAGCCTGGGATCAGCCAAGCAACCCTTTCCTGCCAGCTCAAGGTCAGGTCTCAACTCTCCACTGCCCTTTCCTGGCTGGAGAACCCATGGAAGGTTCCCAGTGCTCAAACCAGCCCAGTCCCTTGGATATTGTGTTGGAAAACATCTGCTCCCTCCTCCCCTGGTCACCGATTTGACCAGTCCCAGACTGGGAGTAGGATGGAGGATGTTCCTCATGTCCAGGGCTGCCCTGTAGCAGCTCAGGTCCATGTTTTATCCCCAGGAAAGCAGTCAAGGCCACGTTGGTGCTGCTGCCCTTGTTGGGAATCACCTACATGCTGTTCTTTGTCAACCCAGGGGAGGATGAGATCTCCAGGATTGTCTTCATCTATTTCAACTCCTTTCTGGAGTCCTTCCAGGTATGGTCCTCAGCACTAACTTCCACCCCAGTCCCCCCAGTAAGGGATGTGGAGGAGCTTGAACTGGTTGATGCTTCATCCTGCTCCTGCCCCCTCCCCAAACCAGACACCCCCACCCCCTGGAGCTGCTCTGGAGCCTGGGGATGCCTGGTGGCCATAGGTCTGTGGTGACTCTGCTGCTTGTCTCCTTCCAGGGCTTCTTTGTCTCTGTCTTCTACTGCTTCCTGAACAGCGAGGTGAGCACAGGGGGGTCCTCAGGGGGTCTCCACCCTTCCTGGGCTTGGGGGGTCCTGGCACCCAACTCCCCAGCTGAAGGTCTGGTCAGAGTTGGTGCTTCACCTCCAGGCACTGCTGGAGATGGGAATGACTACTCTTGGTCTCCTCCTCCAAAAATGCACCCCCAAGAGCAGATGCTCTGGTGCAGCAGAGGAGCTGAGGGTCCCCCCATTCCTGAGGAACCCTTCCCAGTGGGAACTCAGTCCACATGTGGGTACCCAGCACGTGGACAAGGGCAGCTCTGACCCAAAACAGAGACAGCAGGAAGAAAGGAGGTGAGAGCAGAGGTTGATCCTTTGGGCAGCTCTTTCCTCTACCTCCTCCCAAGGGCTCTGGCACCTTCTCTGGCTCAGGAGGGTCTGTCCCAGCCCAGCTTCCTGTTACCAAATTGCTGCAGGAGGCAAAGGGGCTGGAGCAAGGTGGCCTGGGGACGTGTCACACTGTGCAGTTGAGGGTCCTTCACCTCTCAGTGGGGTTTCTGATGTTCACCCAACAGCACCACCTCAGCCCAGTGCCCATCTCCTGGGGCAACCCCCAGTGCAGCCCCTGAGGGGCATTTCTCCATTTCCCTGCCACACAAAGCACTGGGGCTGTTGGAGGGTGGAACTGATGTTGGAGAAAAGCCACCAGGCTCCAGCAGACCAGCCATCAACCCTCCTGCCTGTCTCCCTCCCCTCTCCCAGCCCCTGGCAGCACCCGAGGCAGGCTGGAAGGTGCTGCTTTGCCTGCAGAGCCCCTGCTCACACTGATTTCTCCCTCTTGTTTCCATTTTGCCCTCAGAGGCACCACCAGTCAGGGCCACCTCCCCTCCCAACCAGTTCCACCAGCACCACATCAGGCTGGGCTCCCTGGGAGCTGCCAGGGGCAATTTTTTTTGGTTGAAAACCTGAGGGTGAGGCTGGCTGGTGCCTCTGCAGATCTCTGGCCAGCTGCCTGGTGACCATGTCCCCTCCTCTGCCTCCCCCCCAGGTCAGATCAGCCGTGAGGAAGCGCTGGCACCGCTGGCAGGACAAACACTCCATCCGGGCCCGGGTGGCTCGGGCCATGTCCATCCCCACCTCTCCCACCCGGGTCAGCTTCCACAGCATCAAGCAGTCCACAGCTGTCTGAGCTGGCAGCCCAGGGGCTGGAGGAGCTGCTGTCCCCCCCTGCCTGGGACCCCCGGGGTGACCCAGGAGCCGGGTCCTGCCTGGCAGAGCCTGCACAGACTCGCTGCACCCATGGGAAACCCTGCAGAAGCTCCTGTCCCACTTGCTGGGACAGAGCTGTAGGGACAGGACGGCTGCTTTGTCACCTCCCTGGCAGTGGTGTGACCTGCTGGGGTGGCAGGAGGAGCCTGGAGAGGTGGCAGCAGCCTCCCTGCCCACCTCCAGCCCAGGCATGATGCCCCATGTCCTGTTGCTGCCTGGGTTGTCACTGCAGAGGTGACAGAGCAGCAGGACAGGGCTGGGACACCTCATGGGGCTCATCCCTTGGGAAGATGAGCCAGCTTTCCAGGGGGTGCTTGCTGGGATGCTGCTGGGAGTGGGAGGGAAACCCTCCAAGGGGGCAGGGGGGGATGGATGGAAAGCCCTGGACTGGTGGCAGATGTGGCTTCAGGTGGTTCTGGTTTTGTTCCACTGGTGGTTTGAGCCCTTCCCCTGCTCCTTGGCAGGTTCCCCAGGATGTCCTGGAACTGCTGCTTGGGCTGACCAGCTCATTTCTCATCTCAACACTGAGGATGTGGGGCAGAGCAACAGGGTGGGAGAGGGGAGGGAACCATGGGGAGGGGGGACAGGGATGGGTCTCAGGGGCTCTGAACAGCCACATGGAGGGGGCTTGGTCTTGAAGGGAGGTGTGAGGTTTAGTTCACCCCATGGTCCAGCCCAGAAGGGTCTAAAGGTCCTTGCAAAGACCCCAGACCTCAGGCTGTCCCTATGCAGGGACCTCAGGGCTGGGGTCCCCAGAGGAGCTCAGGTGGGGACACCCTGGTGGGGGCTTTTTCTCTCCCTGTCCTGCTTTAACCCAGGCAGGAGGGCTTGGGCCAAAGCTGCTCCTTGCACCTATGCAGGGGATGGGGCCAAATCCTTCCCTTGCTGGGGTTAAGTGCCTTGGAGGAGCAGCAGCCTCCCCTCCCATGGGCAGCTCCAACCACCTCCTGTGCAGCTGCCCAGGCCCTGACCCCCCCCTGCTTCAGGTGCTCACCACAAGCAGCTGAGCAGAGAGGTCCAGGCAAGGTGGAGGGTTTTGCCCTGACCTCCTCAGAGCCACCTTTTCCCTGCTCCAGGTGTGGCCTGGGGATGCTGGGGCAGAAGGAAGATACCAGAGGAGATGATGGGCTGGGTCTGCTCCCTGCATCCCAGGGATTCTGCCACTGGGACCCTACAGGGTCTGGTGTGAGTCCCTCCACACCTCCACACTGCCTCAGTTTCCCCACTGTAAAGAACAAGCAGAAGCATTTCCTGCCCTGGGGAGACTTTAAGCATCTTTGAAATGGAAGTAGGTTGTGATTTTCCTCAGGACACACCACCAGAAAGGGATAAAATAGCTATTTCTTTTTTAATTTAAAGGGAGGGACAGACAAAATCCTCCAGGTTCTTTCTTTCAACGCTGGAAAAGTTCCCTAATTTGAAGCAAATTCCTCCCATTTCCTTCCCTCTGAGATTTTCTACCTGCATGTCAAGAGTGCAGCCCAAACCAGAAACACCCCATTGCCTCCAATAATGTCCTGGGAGCAGAGAGCTGGGATGGGGGGTCACCACAAGGTTCTGGTCCTTGTACAACTTTGTCCATCACCAACACTCCCATAAACTGCCCCTTAACCAATATATGGGTGAGAAAAGGCCCCCTGGGGTGATGCAGGGGGAAATCTGGCAGCTCCCAGCTCTAAGGATGCTTTTTATGATGCCCTACCAAGAGCAGACCTGGGTGATGCCACCACCACGGGGCAGGTTTTTCATTTCAGTTGGATTTCTCTGCTGGGAGCTTTGGCAGGAGCTCAGGAAGATCTGCTGGCCATGGAGGAGGGGAAATGCCCCAGGGAGCTTGTTGTTTCCTTCTTACATCCAATTGATGTGACACACGACCTGTTCCAGTTGGATTTTTCCAAAGCAGGGTCATTTTTAGGTGGAAAGGAAGCTGGAAATTGGGAAAAAAACACCAAAGAAAGAAGCCCAAATAGAAGCATCTGTGTCCCCATCACTGGATTTTCCCTCTCCTCTTGGTGGTCTGTTCTGACTGGTGTGACTTTGCTTCCTGTAGCTGGAGAAGTGTGTGTGTGTGTTCTCACCTTGCTTTGATTAAAATGATTTCAATTCCTGTCCCAAGGACTTTTGGGGCACTTTTCTCTTTTGGAAAAGCCCAGCCCAGCGTGGTGCCTCCCCAGTTCCCACGGGAGGAACCTCACCCTGCAGTGGGCTCAGCACCCCACTGACCACAGAGGTACCTGGTGGCTCTTTTTGTCCCCCTCTATCCCGAGGCCACAAGCCCAGAGCATGGAAGTGGGAGTCTCTGGGGTCCTCAACTCAAGAGGGACATGGACCTGCTGGAAGGAGTCCAGAGAAGGGCCACAAAAATGATCTGAGGGCTCTGGAGCCAGGCTGGGAGAGTTGGGGTGTCCAGCCTGGAGAAGAGAAGGCTCCAGGGAGACCTTAGAGCAGCTTCCAGTGCCTGAAGGGGCTCCAGGAAAGCTGGGGAGGGACTTGGGACAAGGGCAGGGAGGGATGGGATGAGGGGGATGGATGAAAACTGGGAGAGGGAGATTGAGGTGAGACATGAGGAGGGAATTCTTTGGTGTGAGGGTGGTGAGAGCCTGGCCCAGGTTGCCCAGGGAAGCTGTGGAAGCCTCATCCTTGGAGACAGTCAAGGTCAGGCTTGACCAGGCTCTGAGCAAACCAAACTAGTTCATAAAGTCTCTATGCACTTCAAGGGGGGGACTAGATGACCTTTAAAGGTCCCTTCCAACCCCACCCATTCTGTGACAGGGCCTCTCCATGAAGGTGTCAACACCATGTCATCTAAAAGGGGGTGAGGAGCTGAGGGCCACCTCCTTCTGGGTCTCCCACACCAGCACCACCAGGGCCAGAGAAACTCCTCCAAGTTCTCCATGCTGCTCCTTCTCCCCAGCTGAGCAAAGACAGACTGTGAACACAATGGGTTTCACAGCAGGAAAGGGGGGGGGGCAATTAAACTTGAATTTCATTTCATACATCAATGTTTACGAGTGAAATTCAGACACAAACATCTCTTTCTGGTCAAGCTCTTCCCTTGGAGAATTAATTGGTTTATCACACAGAGCCTTGGAGAGCACAGTAATTTGGTGAGCACC